GGGGGGGGGACGACGAGGAGAGGAAGAGTCATGTTCCTGAGCTTCCCAGGACATAATAATCGTCTGTATGAATCACAAGTCGACTCGATTGACGGTTAAAGACACGATACAAAGTAGGAGGATGCTCACAGAGGCAGGAATAACGTCACACAGAGAGCAGGGTCGCTGTAATGGCATTACACTATCTCTTCTAAAATCAGAACATCTGCTGTGTGAAGAACATGCAACACAAAATACCTGCTTCAGTGAGTGGAGAGCCCTTGATGCCATGTCTTGTCAGATTATAGTGAAGCATATGGTAATCCAGTGCACACAACAGTCTGGCAGAGATTGTGTCAATATGTGTTGCCGTTTGGAGTCAATAGTCAAATTAATTACTTTCTCTGTGATGGCACAAATCAAACAGTGCGGACACACACATTGCCCCCGGTCAGGGACAGGATTTGAATATTGACGGGAATTTTTCTAGATGTATTTGTTTATAAAAAGTCAGAAAATGCCTTTCACATTTCCCAGAATCACTGCCGTGTTTCTCCATATCAAACTATTTTTTTTAAAGTATTGTTATTGTTTTTTTATTTATCATTTGGGACACCACAGATGAAGTTAGATTGATGATCCATGTTATAAATATAGTCGATTAATTTAAGAGTGGACAGTCTTAGGGTTGAGGACAGGCTTGTGTGATGTCTGTGTTGAGAATTAGAGAAACTCACTGAAGTTTTGTGCGGATCTTCGTCGGAAGGGGTGAGGTCTCCGCCATATTCGTCCTCCTGTGATGCCGTTGGACATGCCTCAAAGTCTGTGTGCCCTAGATCATGCAGGTACTGGAAAAGAGGGGAGTTCTGCAGAGAGAAAGAGAGCCAGATTGAGAAGTACTTGAGAAATTGGGGAAGCAAGAGACTTTGCCGGACTGGAGTACAGGAGATGAAAACGGTCACAAGGCTGAAGCAGGTTTAGCTGATTTCCCCCCAGTGTGAATCCAAAGGTGTCATGACTCTTCTAAGTGAGGAAACTGATTCGTCAAACCGGTCTACTTTCCCTCAGGCTTAGATACAGTGGAGGCACCAATATATTCCCAAGCCTACCATCTTTCATCGATGCAGCTTTCTGCTCTGCGAGGAATGCTGTAAAGTGCCTTCATATGTGAATCTGTAAATTCCTCATACAGATGAGAGGACTGTCTTTTAAATCTTCAGATCATAATCCTATCTCCTTATAGAGGAATACATAAAGGCAATGATGGTTCTTATCCAAACAAAGAATGCTCAGAATGAAATCAGCCCCGAAATAAGCAGAGGAGGAAAACATCCCATGCTAGAATTTGTCCAAAGATGTCTGACCCATTTCTCCCCCAGCTGCTGGAAGCATCTCTGCTGCTGTGTTTTGGTGCACAGCTGCACAGGTGCATCTCAGCTATAATTAACCAATCATAACATGCTAAATGCCAGTCGAACAATGAAAGCTACTCACATGCATTGTCACACGAAGCAGCAGCTCATGTTGTCACCACCCAGACGTAGCTGCGCCTGTGTGTCAATGTTTTTTTTCCTCCAGAACCGACGCATTGGGTCTGGTCCTCCCCACCCCACCTCTAACTATCAGACCAGCAATGATGAAACACCAACAACAATGCGCGCACTGGCACAGCTCAGCCCCCTCTCATGACCACCAAAGCTCCTTGGCAGAAACACAGTTAGCAGCCGGCCAAATATGTTGATTTGTTTGGGGTTGCCAATACATGGCAACAGGGCAAACGGCTGCTAATGTGAAGCTAGCATGCTTGCTAGGTTGCTAAGCTATCCGTGTAAGCTAGCTGACGTTAATGAACCCCAACGTCTGTTACCTCAGAACTCGGGAGGTATGACAAAGCATCCGTAAGTTTCAATTTTAAAAAACAGCGGCTATAATACCAACCTCAAATACCACATCTTCATCAAACTCCTCAGTCATTGCTCTCCGCCATCTATACACAGCCCGTGTTGCATACTGAAGTTGTAGGCGACAGTTGTCAAGAATGCCGCTGAGAAGTTGGTAGTTAGCCGGTTGCTAAACTTAGCATAAGACTACTATTCCCATAATGCTCGTTTCTCAACGGCAGCTTGCAAGGACAAGCGCTCGTATCAGTGCGCCTCATGCGGGCGCGAAAGGCATTGGACCGACTGTTGGGAAAACCAAAATGAATTGACCGGAAATTATTTCAAAATAAAACACTACACATCTTTAATACTTAGTAGTTAGCCAGAAACACAGCAAATACCAGTACATTATAGTCATACTTAGTGAAAATATAGTTTTCAACTAATATTAGGCTTACTTATGTGTTTAACGTCATATTATAACAACTGCAGCTAGTCTTTTGAAACAACACATTTATGTTGAAATGTATGAATGGAACTGAGTTGTTTTTATGTGTCCTACTTGACTTGCTTGGGAAAAGCACCGTGGCTGAAAACTTCGGGAAAAATGGAAAAAGTAACAGGCGTAAAAACTGTATCGGTGCATCCGCTTGCAAGATAAGGACCGACAGCGATGGATCTGCATGTTTTCTCCCTGAAGTGGTTTTCTAACTGACACTGGTGTCGAAGGAGGAAAAAACTCTGTTTTTCTCGCAATTCCATTGAAAGTTTACAAATGGAGAAAGGAGCAAGTCGGGAGTCATGAGCACAGGTTTGTTTCGTGGGGGAGCTAACTTTACTTAGCAAAATCTTGCTGTGCAAGCATATATTGTAGTTATCTACAACTCAATGCAAATAACGTCAGTTCTTCTGTGTATTCGCAGAAAGTGTAAATCACTACAATTGTAATGTCATAACGGACGCATCCGCTCTATTTTTACTCAGCCACAGTTAATTACACTTTTTTATAATAACACCTTTCGAAAGTAAAAACATACATGTGAGTGCTTTCTAAAACGCAATCATAACTGGTAATCAAAAATGTTCTTTTCTGTTTGATATTACACTTTACCGTTGCAGCTGAAGGGGGTTAAATCCTTTGTCTAAAACATCTGTCCTGCTGTTGGTGTAACAAACCGGACTCGATAACAAGCGGCAGTGTTAACATCTCATATAAAAAACAGTTAACATTTGCCAGGATAAAGAGGGATATCCCCAGTGAAATTGGATATGTGCAATAGAGTTATAAGGAGTTCTTGTTTTTCCACGACAGGAGCTGTTTAAGCCCTAGTGTTGACTTTTACTGCGAAAGCACAAGGCCAGACTCCACTTACAAATCTAACATTTTTAATGAAACCTTTTTTTATCAGGCTCAAATATCATAAGACATACTTTTTAAAGCCGTGATAGCATTAATGGCATGTACTGGTCAATTCGGCTTTTATATAAAGAGACCAAGTAAACATTTTTAGACTAAGTTTGAGATTGATTCTCATTGCACATCACAGCCATCAATGATACATTCTGATATGCATTTGGGTGAACCATTAATAAAAACGGAACTTTTCTATTAAAATGTGTATGCCGAATTGAACATTCGAAATGATTAATAGGGATGTTAATTACTGTCCCATGACGCTGGCAGTTTAGTTTTTAAGCCCATTGACTCTATATGTATTTTTTCTTTTATAAGAGTGTATGTGCAAAGAGGCAAAGACAGGGCAGCATGTTTTGCGTGCAGAGCGTTTCTGTGGCCTCTCGGAAACAACCGCTCGATGACTCTACTTCTCGTGGTGACGGCCAGCCGGGAGATTCAGCCAGGAAAGCGGAAAATATCTCCTACAATCTCAATTGGCAGCTTTTTTTATTCGTGTAGAGACCGTTTTTTTTTTAATTCTAACTTTATTTAACAATTGTAATCATTGAGATTCTGGTTGTCTCATCAACTTAGCATATTATAATAGAGGCACTTATTTCTGGCAGATATTTAGTAGTTCCATGTAGTTTGAGAGAACAAAAAATACACTTAAGTCTAACTCAGTTCAGAGAACAATAGAAAGCTTTAATGGTAGTTTATCAAATTAGATTCAGAGAATAAGTTAAGACAGTTTTACTTTACTATTTACTTCCACAAGTGTAATTATCTCATGAAGGGCTTACACCAGCCCTTCATGAGATAATTACTTAATAATAATACATGCCTGAATTTATTTCACACATTACTCCAGTCCTCAGTCCTTCCCCTCTGACCCTAAGATTAACCTTTTTGACCGGAGCTTAATCCACAGTTTGCAGCTGTCTATGCTTATATTGGAGGAAGTGTGGATGAAGCATGGTTTATCGGTGCTGTTCTGGTGGGGTGTGATTCATTTAAAAAAGAGTTAATAGTCTCAAACTGTTTTGTAACTTTCGTCCCTCTTCTTTTCATGCAGGTGTGAAGAAGCCACCATTAGCGCCCAAACCTAAACTCCCTGGTACCACCAAACCCTCCCCCCCGCCCATCGCCCCCAAACCAGGTCTCCTCTCCCAGCCTCCCATCGTCTCCCAACCTTCCCCGTCTACTCTAAAGAGGACAAAACCGGCTGTCGCCCCCAAACCATGCATTCCTAAATCCGTAGCTTCCCCTGTTTCAACCCCGTCACCTAAACCCAGTGAACCCCCCCTCCTATGTCAGGAACAGCAGACAGCTTTAGGTGATAACCTCTCCCTTCTCAACTCCAGAAATGGGATTTTATCGGAGACTAACAAACGCGACTCGGATTACATCATTCCCACTTGCTCTTGTGGGCTCCAGGACTGTTCCCAGTATCAGCATCTGGAAAATGGAAGTACAACTGAGAGCGATTTTCACAAAGGGCCGTTGCAGAATGGGATTTCTACAGAAGGATTCACAGAGACGAGGCCACAAGTGAAAGAAAAACGCCCGGAGGAGGGAGTAGCTGTGGATAAGGTTGAAGGTGGAGGGATTGGCAAAAAGCCCAGGGATAAACCTCAAAGACAGAGACACCTGGAGAGGGATTTGTCTAACAAAGAAGCTCAGAGGACTGAGGAGCAGGAGGAGGCTGTGAAACATGAGGAAAGTGCTGTTGCTGAGCCTGATTTTTCAATAGCAGATGTAGAGACTGAGGCCCATCACACAGATTTAACAGACTCAGTCTTGGATGTTGCAGGCAGCATCATTATCTCCCCCTCTATCACTCCTCATGAGTCTTCCCCAGAATCCTTTCAAGCGGAACATATAATCACAGCCTCTCCCACCAGGTTACTCCCTGATCTGCAGTTCCCTGCTGCCCCCAGTAAGCCTCTCCCGGTGCCTCACCCACGCAAACTTAAAAAGCCTGCCCTGGTGAGGCAGGATGGCGTGGAGGGCAGTGCCCAGGATCAGGTGACGGAGGAACAAACACTTGAGATGCGAGAGGATGAGGGGAGTCAACCGGGTCTGTCTCTCAGTCAGGAGGGAGAGGAGCTCAGACAGGACTCGTGCGAGGAACCTTTACCCCAAAAAGACTCGTGTTTGGGAGATGATGAAGCCGACGCGCCCGTCCCCCCTCCTCGACAGACCTCCCTCTCGCCTCGCCTTCACAGGACAGTCCACATGTCACCCTCTCTTAACAAAAACACCTCCCACTCCTTAGTCCTGCTCTCACACGCTGACTCAATGAGCCACCAAAAAGGAGGAGCGGACCACCGGGTGGAGGAGGACGAAGAGGACGGGTATGGCGACTTTGAGCGCTACCCCATCACTCACAGCCTCCCCAAACAGATCAAACTCGGCTGTAATCCCCCTCTGGGTAGCGCCAGGAGAGCTTTCTCTGCCGAGGATCAGCCAAGTGCGCCCCCCAGGAAACCCCAGAGACACAGCCTGCCAGCAGCACACTGCCCACCCTCCTTCTGCCCCCCTGCACCTCCACACGCTAACACCCCCATGAGGGAGCTGCCTGCGCCTCCTCAGGAGAAAACGGCCTGGCGCTTCACCCGACCCTGCGTGACCTTCTTCAGCCGGCAGATTCCCTCCAGGAGCAGCATGCCTCCAAAGAGCCGGGCTCCAGCACTGGGGGGCAAACAGAGGGCGCAGTCTTTCTCTGCAGCAGACCTGGCAACCCGGGCAGGCTCTCATAAGAGGAGCCTCTCTTTCCGGAAGCTGCTGGAGCTCCGGCTGTCTGTCAAGATGCTCCCAAAGCTGCTGGCCAAGGGAGGGCAGTCTCTGGACTGTACCAGCGTGGAGTCCACCCGGGGGGAGAGGAGGCTGGAGCGACCCACCAGCTGTATAGTCGAGTCTGATATCTGTGGAGAAGATGGAGATGGGTCAGTGGAGTATGAGAACGTCCCTCTGTATGAGGAAATCCCAGAGTACATGAACCTGCCGTTCCACGGTGCGAGGCTGGGCTGGCCTCACGACCCCGACGGAGCAGATTCAGACATCTATGAAGTGCAGGATCCCTATCACAGGAGCAACGACCACGAGTACGAGGGGTACGTATAATGCATATTTAAAATGTGTAAAATTTTGTTTAAGGGTGTAACTAATGATTATTTATTTTGTTGATTAAGTGGTCTTATCTTGTAGCAGTGTATGCATTTGTTAGTTAGTAGAGCAATGACAAAAGTTTAGAAAAGAAATCAATGGGAACAAAATGCAACACAGGTTGCTAAACTGGATTTTAATCTGACACATTGCCCTAACCCCAGGGTGCCCATTTATTTTTATGATTTATTATTTGATTGTTAAGTCTCTGTATGCTTGCCAGCTACTTCTATTAGACACTTTTCCAAAAATGTACTGCAATAAACAACATCAGATGTCTCAATCAACAGTGAGATAATAAGGAAAAGTAGCAACTTGTCTCCTTTAATAAGCTGGGAACAGCGAATGTTTGGCATTATTTTGTAAATGAATTGTTAATCAAATTGCAGAGTTATATTTTTAACCCCCTTCTAATAGATTAACCGACCTCTCGTTTCAGCGTTAATCTTTGAATTTGTTTTTGAAAGGTTATCTAGCAGTAACAGATGTTGTAGAGGAGTTATCAACTGAGTAAATACTCTATACTTTTTGACAGTTGTTATCAATTCAATTTTCCTGCTAAGTTTAAGAACAAACAACCCTTATTTCCAAACAAAGGCAATATGTGTTTGTGTGAGAGAGTTTATTTAGGCTGAAGTCCAGAGCACTTGCTGCCAGTTTGTAATTTCAAGTGACCGTAGCTTGAGTGTACGACAGGTTGCACAGGTGACGTTAGTGGTTTGAATTTACAACAGTGAGAAAGTGGCCTTTGAGCCAGTGGCATTGAATTTGAATGGAGCGTTGGTGCAGGTCGGCCTGTTTTCCTGTGGGTTATTTTCAGTGGCCTGGGCAGGAAATGTCTGAGAATCGCAGAAACGCCACACAGCTCTCTAGAACAGGAAAATAAACCTCCAGCAACCACTAGCCTCCTCCTCCTCGGACTGCACGCCTTCGCTCTGCGTTTAGCCTCTTCATAACCTCATCACTCCTTTTTTCTCCGCTGTGCCACTGAAGTGAGTTCTTTCAAACAAGTAAATTGTCTTTTAAATCCTTAGACCTCTGGAAGAGTGGCAGTTAGGGGATAGGGACACATAGGATTTGAAGATTATTGACTGTGGGAATACCAACAAAAAATCATAACATATATCTCAAATCATAACAAAATGTTATATATAACATTTTAAATTGAGCTTAACCCATTAATTATCTTCAAAATCAATACACTTTGTTACTTATTTCTCAATGATTATTGTTTATTGGTTAGTTTAATAAAAGGTAGCTTCTTCAGAAAGCTTATTTGTTTGACCAAAACATAAGCTATTAAGTTCACATAATATGAAATGAGAGCCAGATAATTGTCCAATTTAGTCACTGTATTTTACAGAACAATGATTAGTTGTAAATTGGAGCTCTTTTGCATTTCGCTCGATAAATAACAAACAAATAAGTGAATTAACAGTCGTGCGACACTGCAAGCAAATGTCCTGAATCCCATTTATGCTATTAACATCCCGTTGAGCCCTTTATGTCCCGGACTGCTGTGATTAGGAGATGTTCTGTTCCCATGATTCCTGTTTCCTCTGACTGACAGTGGCACAACAAGTGATGAAGTCCATGCCACCTTAGGTGATAATAACACAGCCATTAAATGGATTAAGATGAACCCTCACTCTGTCGTTGGCAGGGTGTTTCTGTGTTAGAGAGGAGAAAGAGGGAGAGATTTAATCTGTCGTTTTTCCCAGGCATCTGAGCCTGTTAAGTTTATGTAAGTAGCCTCGGGCTGTAAACAAGTGGTGCTCTGTGCCTGATCCAGTGTGTTGGAATGCTCCACTATAGAGAAAGCATAAGGGGGAAAGGGGGGGGGGGGGGGGGGGATTGAGGTAAAAGAAACTGTCGGGAGCCATGTAAGAAAAACAGGGAAGTGGAGAGATTGGGCTATTGCTGATGAGAGTGAAAGGAAATGTGAGGGGTTTGGAGTCCCACAGTCTTTCCTATCCAACATTTACTCAGAGCTATCACTCTTTTTGCCAAGAGAAAACATCAACAATCCTCTTTACAAAGCATCATTAGGAAAAGGGAAACAGCAGGACTAGGGTCCACAATTCAGGAAATATACAATGTGTAAACTTTAAATTGGAATTAACAGCAATTTATGGAAATATGGTGGGAATCTACTCCGCTGTTTACCATGTCATATGCAGATTTATACTAACCTGTTACCATATTATAAGAACATTTTTTCCATTAATTTGTCAAATAAATCCATTATTTTCCCAAAAAGCTACATCACACATGGCAAGTTGGCAAAAACAAGTTATAAACTGGGTACCTTTCTTTTGCTACTACCTGCAGGTCAGCTGCAATATTATTAAAGTAGGGCTGCTCAATTCATCGTATTTTAATCGCAATTACGATTATGGCTTGCAAAGATTACGAAAACAACGTAATCGAAATAAAACGATTATTTTGTTATTATTATTACTTTTTTTTTTTTTTTAAATAATGTTTTTTTTATTGGATTTTCAGTTGAGTTATACTTAAAGTTCAGGGCAATCAACTGTTAAAAACATACTGTTCACATTTTTTTTATCCAATAATTATTGACCCAAATAATCGAGATTATGATTTTTGCCATAATCGAGCAGCCCTATATTAAAGTATAAAATATGTTTCCGTCAATAAGATAATCAAGTTGAAAAGCATAGTCTTTTGGCCTTGACGATGCTGAAGTGCTGTATACAATATCTGAAATATTGAAATTGTGTGACTTCGCTGGGATATTTCCGATCTTTCACAACCCTAACCAGGACTAGACCGAGGAGGCAAATCCAATCATACCTCCCCCTCATTTCATCAGTCAGACCACTTAATTGTACGGGAGCGATCAAAACATCAGTGACACACTAACGCATGTTGCTGCTTGCGCTAACCTGGCAGACAGAGCCATCATATTGCTGCCGGCAGCAGGCTGTATACAGAATAATAAAAAATATATATCGGGTACAGGCATACCTTACAAGAATACAAATATTTACGACTGGGAAATATGGCTGGAAGAAACATAATAATAAAATAATCTCTTTTTAATCAGAATATTTGTTTGAATAATGATGAAGTCTCTTAAATGTCAAAAAACAGCAAAAGAAATACCTCTCATCACATCCTATTCACTATCATATCTCACTGGTTTTGCTTGCAACACAAAATATGTGTTTTTAGCCCTTTATAACTGCACAAAAGTATTTTCTTTTTTCACGCCATGGATTTAAAATTCTAATCAACCAGTGTTGACATTTTCTTTAAATATCCTTAAGAGACATTTTTCTTTTCATTATAGATGTTGTCAGCTTGATTTCAATATTTTCCATCGTTGTACAACACCTCTGAATGCGTTTTGCTCTTTTACTGACTCATATGTTTCTTCTGAGCAAAGATTAAGTTAATTTATGACCTTGCACAAAAGTCTAATCTTTATTTAACCAGGGAGTTTCTGAACTCACACTCCTCTGCAGCCCTGCCCTGCGTCTCATTCACACATTTAAACATTCTCTCTGAAGCCAAGCTCAATTCTGTGTGTGTTATGCTGTGTGTGTTGAATGTTAGCAGCGGTTGGCTGGGGCAGGACGTCCACTCTGAGGAGGAAGAGATCCACAGTTCAGATGAAGAGGACAACAGCTCCTCCTCCAGCAAGGAGCACATGGACGAGGCCGACCGACAGGTAAACTAGTTGACCTGAGAGGAGAACGCTGTCTTTATAAAGCAATGATTATACATTCCTAAACTAATTAAGTATGAAACTGAAACATAAGCCAGCACATGATGACGGATCATTTCCGGTGGTTTCTATGCCAACATGCCTTTAATTTCAACCATTGAAATGTACTTCTCATACACATCCGGTATATTTTTTCAAAAGCTGTTCATTGAAGACAGAGACAAATGTTTTTTTATATGAACACAGTATTTATTCTTTTCAAAATGGCCAGTCACTTCAACAAAAATACTCTATTATGGCTCAAATAAAAACACACTTTAGCCCCTATATTTCACAAATGATTCATATAAAATCATTAGAATTATCATATCAAAAATGACAGAAAAATGTTTTAATTGGTTTTGTCTGACCAACAGTCGAAAACCCTGATAAATTACTTATTTCTTATTAAAAAAAAGTGATTGTAAAAGCCCATTTTTAAAACCTTAAAAAACATAAATACCTTGAAATCCGTTAAGGGTTTCCTGAACTCAATGTTTGAAGCAAACACTGCTTTAATGTGACTTATGCTTTACACAATAAGGAAAAATAGACGTTGCTACTTTTATGGAAAATGACTCTGCTTTCAGGCACGAACATGTCAGATAGGCCTGGCATTCACAGTTTACAATGGACGTCTCATATCACTGCCTGTGACTAAGCTGTCACTGCAGCCACTGGAGATAGTGTGTCCGTTACAGCGCTTTAGAAGTGTGTGTGTACGTGTGTGTTTGGAAGGGGGGATGGTGAGCAAACACAGAAGGGTTACAGGTTCAGGAATAGCCCTCCAATGAGCTGTTTTTTTTTTTCTTTCTCCGTCCTGTGTGACCCTCTCCATGATATTGTCAGCACCTGTGTCTGATGCCCCTCAAACTTCCAGGGTATCACTAATACAGAGGGGAGGTGGGGGGGCATGGCCACTGTCCAAATTAAGTCATTGAAAGACCGCCCCCATTACCATTCAACGACACACACCATCAGAGAGACACAGAGGGGAAAGAGAGGAAGGGAAAGGGGAATGTTGTCGCTGTCCTCTCGGGATTGAGTTTTTGGAAGTCTGTAAACTCAATCCTGATGGTTTGACAGAGAAAAACCAGGATCATGGTGATTTGCAGCGAGTCAGTGAGTGTACAGCGATCAGTTTTAGGTGAGATCGGTTGCTGTTAGCCTTTGTGTAGCTTTGTGAAACTGTTTGTGTTTCTCCTCTTCAGCAGGAGGATGAGACGAAGAGGAAGAAATTGGTGCACATCGCCCAGGAGATCATGAGCTCCGAGAAAGTGTGAGTGTTTTTTTAATGAACTGGAGCCCTTTTTAACTTTCAAATAAGATAAAAAAGCAGTTAAAGACTTTCTTATTTACTAATAAGTGTGTACAGTTGCATAAAATGGACAAGAAAAAGTATATATACCTCAAAATTATACTTAAACAGAGTACAGTACTTCACATTCTTACATAACCAGCAGCACATGATAACACAAAGTGATGTATTGAACTGATTCTGATTCTGTTACTCTCAGGTTTGTGGATGTCCTGAAGCTTCTTCACATAGTAAGTGTCTTGTTTATTAAAGAGTTGCATTAAAGGAACCGTAAAGAGTGCCTTTTACATAATAAAAAGTACCGTGCCTACACTGTGATTGTTTTGACTTAGGTTCAAAGCTTTTTCCGAGGGATGGACATGAATTAATGAGGTCTCGGCGGGTGTTGTCTTTGCCACAGTGCCCGTACAGAGCTGAATCATTTAGTTTTTTTAAGTTGCTGTGTAGGAGGGTTTTTACTTTTTTTTTGTTTCTGTTTTTAGGTCGGCAGTGGAAAGCGGTAAACGCAGGGCATAAGTAGAAAGGCTTTGATCAGTCCTATTGCAGGGAAACATTATCTATTTTTGTGCAAGAAAAAGAAAGCACGCATGGTTCTTCAGTTAGGGCTCGTCCAGCTCTGTTAAGGTGAGCTGTGTAGTTGGTCTGCGGAGCTTCAATATTGATTGTTTCATGTCAAATCAGTTAGGTGAGGGTTGCTTTCAATAACATAAGGCAACATCCTAATTTCAAGTACATACAGGCCATTTATGCTAGTATTTTACATAAAGTATATGTTTGAGTTGTTCTCCCTGCAGTTTGTTTTGTTAAAATGTTGTTTTCATGTGCTTCCTTGCTTCAAGCAAATGTAATTTCCTGAAGCAATGCAGCGAAAAAGATTTTTTCCCCATAAAGAAAGTTTTATGTGATATCCCTTTGCATTTTAAAGAGACACTAGTTTATATGCCTAGAGATAAAGAAATGCCCCCATGTATAATGGAACGCAATAAAGTTTTTCTTTATCATTCTGTTGTCAATATGATACGATCTGAAAATGGTTATCAATTACCCAGAAGTACTTTAAAAAGGGACTTTTTTGTAGGTTTTCTGTTAGTATGTCCAATGTGTATGAAAATCCTAATCATGATTGATTCTTCATTTAAAAACAGACTTCTGGTTGTTCCTCTGTGCAGTATAGGCTCTCTTGGCCGATTTAGTTTAAAAATAAATCCACTTAAATGATGTTTTGTCTCGGTCCCCATGTTGAATGCTCGTAGCTTTTTGAATGGAAAGGAACCATGTGACTGGAGGAAGTCAGGTTTTTATTTAGGGGAAGTGCCTGAAAAAAATGTTGGGGAGAAAAATCAGGTTGTCATTTCTAATGTCAGTATGTGTGAAGTTAACATGCCATCTATACATTAGAGTACTTTTTAAGTATGCTAGTTGTTACATTTGACAGGAGAGCTCTGCCTTTATATGTATTTGTTCTGTCCGCCTCAGATGCAGCTTTAGTGAAGCCCACTCTGCAGGATTAGTTTTAACGTCGTCCTGTGGCTGACGAGGGGGGGTGCTCTGTGTGCTCTGACCAAGAAAAGAGGTCAGATCAAATTCTTCTCTCCGCTCTGCCGGCCTGACAGCTGCCTCCTCAGGCCATAGAGACGACCTCCAGACACACACATACCTCAGATAATCCTCCAGTATGAGTGTGTGTGTTGTGTGTGCAGGTGTGTGCGTGGTTTGGGGACTTTGCTTGTGCTTATTTGTGGCAAGTCGTCCATCTGATTAGTTTGCATTTCTTCGGGATTTTTTTTCAAGTGGGTTTATTTTAAGCGTCCATCTCTGTTTTGTGAATATTAGAACGGACGTTGGTTTCTTTTCTCCGTGTTTGTAATTTGTTTCTGTTAGTTCTGTATCTAATTCTGCACCGGTGGAGCTAACTGGATTAGTTTTTACTAGGGATGTCCCGATCACCTTTTTTTGCTCCCGATCCGATTCCGATCATTTGATTTTGACAATTTGCCGATACCGATTTTTCCCCGATCCGATCTTTATGCAATGCATTGAGAGAAAAAAAAGCATTCAAGTTGTCCCTTAAGGTTATTTTTTTAATTTAAATTGGATATTCTATCCAACATGGATATAGCTTCTTTCTTTCACAGCAGCATTGGATCAGTTCAGTTGTGGAGCATTGGATCAAAACAAAATAAAGCTTTCAGTACTCGTTAGCTTACTGCTTCAATTAGACACTGCGCCCTGCCCACTCTGTTGCCAGATTTGAGAGAAATAACCAGGTCTATGAAACGCAAGCCCAAGTGAAGCAACACAATACATGAGTTCTGTAATTTGAAACAAAACTAGGCTCAGGATGGCACTTTAAGGACATGAACATGGTCATTTTTGTTTTGTAACATTGAATACAAAATGTAAAAAAATCAAAAAAATCTTTTTAAAAAATCCCGATCCCAGATTTTTTTTCTCCGATTCCGATCTTTGAAAATCACGTGCATCGGCTCCGGTTCCGATCACGGTATCGGATCGGGACATTCTCATAGTTTTTACTATCTTGTTTTTGAGGTTTTGTTTATGTTATATCAAAAACCTGATTCAGTCATGAGGTGGTCCAGATATGATATGATAAATACATGTTGGCAGAAATGTTATTTTGGGTCATTTACTGCATTAAATTATAATGTATAATATTGAGTGGGCTGATGTCTTCATTTACTTTTATTTGTGATGCTGAATGGACTCTGCCTGTCACTGAAAGTTAATGATGCCAGTAATTTAAAGTGGGGGGATGGCCAGAAAATGTGGTTTTTGAGCAGTAAACCGGACGTTGGGATCCAGCGCCTCCCTGTTCTTCCAGCGTGGATGTGGTGTGTTGGCACACTGGAAAAAGGACAGATGCCGAGTCAGCTGTGTGTGTGTGTTGTGTGTGTGTGTGTGTGTGTGTGTGTGGTGTGTGGTGGTGTGTGGTTGTGTGTGTGTGTGTGTGTGTGTGTGTGTGGTGTGTGTGTGTGTGTGTGTTGTGTGTGTGTGTGTGTGTGTGTGTGTGTGTGTGTGTGTGTGTGACTTGGGTGTGGTGTGTTGTGTGTGTTTGTGTGTGTGTGTGTGTTGTGTGTGTGTGTGTGTGTGTGTGTGTTGCAGGGGGACTTTACGAGGTGATAACCAGGTGTCCGTTCTGCTGCATGTTGTCATGTGTCCCCCACCCGTACAGCGTGTGGTGTGTTATAATAATGATGGCATTTCCCCACTCTGTGCCTCAGGACTTTCGGGATGCTGTTGCAAGTGCCAACCGTGCAGATGGAAAGCGGTGGTGGACGGCGGGATCCTCAGCCAGATCCTGCTACCTGCCTCAGCTGTATCCAAGCTGACAGGACCTGCAGAGGGAGCTGGAGGACCGAGTGGCACACTGGTAAACACACACATAACACTGCAGCTCCCATAATGCTCTGGGGGATGTTGCAGTGGATTCAGTGCAACATGGTATGATGTGGGACTGCAACTAAAGATTGTGTATTTCTTTAGACTACACTTTCTATAATAATGAGTTACTTTAATGCATTTTACTTGAGCCTTTAGAAGGTCCGCCTAGATAACGATAAACACCAAATTTACGCGGTGAAATCCCTAAAGACATCCTAAAAAACACATCGCTCTTTACTAGAAGGACAACACTTTCACATATCAATCACATTATTAAAAGCAGAATGTAAGGTGAGTTTGATTTAGGATTTGAGTTTATGGTGATTTTCTCTTTGTATATTTGCCGTCTTATGTCTTTTGGGGCGAGCAGAGAAATTGTTTGGTTGATATGAACTCTGAGATCATCGCTTTCTGCGCGAGTACTGAGCGCTAATTCAACTATCTGTTGGGTACAACATGCTCTGTACGCTTTAATTATATCCAAAACTGCTCACCTGTTTAAAAATCTGCTCAAATTTGTGGTGAGCCCTGTGCAGGAGACTCTGCGACTGCAGCGCCTATCATAACAACCTCGTTGTATGGGCTGTTCCAATTACAAGGGCCTGAGATGCATGACCAAACCAATGTTAAAACTGATTATCAAGAGAATATGAGAGATTCTGCTTCCCAAATAATGGTAGTTGGGTCCCACGATTCAATAAAGTTCTGAAAGCACTGGTCCTTCAATGCATTCTCATCAATCCTCCACCGGGGTACACTCAAAGAAGACTAGAGCTTCTTCGGCTGTACGGCTACTTTGAGCTGTCCATTTCCTCTCAGCTATGTGCGGGTTATCGCTTCCAGGCTTAGTATTGTATGTCTTTGTTCCTCACTCATCTTTGGGTATTAAGGCACCGTTTTTACTCAAACTCTTGGGGGGGGTGTTTGTGTTTCACGGGTGTCTTCGCGTCACCCGAGTGCTTGTGCGCTGGCTGAGTGTTATTTGGGATGCGCCTGCTGTGACGGCAAGTGCCAAATCGACTTGTCCTGCCTGGACTCACGATTGTGTGTTCTAAATCGCTGTTTCGGAATGCTTCGGGTGGTCGTATCGTATTTTATGCGTTATATTTTAGCTGAATAAGACGGTTTCCTGTACTAAGTGTTGCGATCGTACAGACGCGGTCGACCTATATTGGTTCGGATCTAGGTGTCGACTTGACCTAGACTGTGTTTACCCTGTCCATCAGTCAGGTTCTGGAACATAACATGTGCGCGTCTGTTTGGACGAATTAGTGCGCTCTATGGAAGATCACACGGTCTTCGCCGTTACTGTCGTCATAGATCTGTAGTCGGTAAGGATTGTGAATTATCTTGCCGTTCAGCGCTCCAATAGTCAGGCATACGACACTAAGAGTGAGACTAGTCGCACAACTAAATACATGATGCCCTGTGTCGGGTACCTAGACCTGTGGGGCAGTTTTTATTTAATTCTTACAGTTTATTCTACTGCTTTTTAGATAGTTGGGAAGTTAGCAGTTGTTCTTAATTTTTTTTTTTTACAGCTGTAATACAGCTTTTTCTGTTCTATAATAAATTGGTACTAGGGCTAACAATTGATTCCTGTTGTGTCACTTGTCTCAAAACAGACTAATCAGCTTGTTAGCGCTGCTACTCTTGACTAGATTTGTACATCAGCATTGTTTTAAAGTCATGCTGAATGGGGATGGTGAGTGGGAGCGATTTAGATGGTGGAGTAGCCAATGGGCTGTTTGTGATGCTTATTCATAGGCTGACTATGTTACTGAAGGTCCGTGTTCAAATGTTCTCCCGGTCGTCAGTGTCTGGTGCTTCTAGGGCTCGAAGAGTTTTTGTAATGTAGCATGCCATTGATATCCTTGTAACATCTATATGTTGCCGTGTTTGGAGCTGGATGGTCTTGTGTGGTTTGATGGGTACAGGCCATGGCGAGCTCACTGTCTGGAGATTGGTAGTCCTAGCATTGTGAGCTCGAGTCGCACGGTCCTTGGTGCGCACGGGTTAGATACCCTTCCTCTTGTGGGCAGGCTGCTGCTCGAACATTTGTTACACCGCCTGGCACAGACGTTTATTAGCACTATATCCTCAGACATGCACATGCACACACACCGAACATTTGACAGGACATGCGGTCGTCGACAGTGTCGAGCCAGACAGGACTAGACATGTAGCAGGACTGGGATGATCGACAGACAGGAATGTAACAGACAAGGACGACGAACACAGAGCAGCTATGACTGTAGGCAGGCCAGACAGACAGACGACAGACAGACGACAAAGACAGCAGACAGCGACCAGACAGACAGCTCTGTGAGAGGCAGGAGCACTTCTCGATGTCGTTTCTCTACTACGATTCTCTCGAAACTTCCTGTGTAAACTCTCGGACCTCTGGACTCTACGTCTTTCGTTCCTGGTCCTCTGATATCTGGTACCCAGTTGTGATGTGTTGGTATTTTGTGTTGTGTGTTTTAACCTAGGTGTGCTGCTTCAGATATTTTACGAGAAAATTCGTTTTAGAAGAATTAGTTTCACACCTATTTGTCTAAAAGATGTTTCGCTTTGTCTGTCCTGATATGTGAGATGATATCAAAAGTTCTAATATATCGCTATATAACCTAACGGTACTGTAATTTAATTATGATTTACTTTTGTTTAGTCTCTATCATACCTTATGTTTGCCGCAAGGCTTTTGATTTGTTTCTTTATTGTTTTGCTCCACTGCAACTTTACTAAGACCTTGATGCGTAGTTGCCGTGTATGTGTGTTGATTCTAAAGAACTCTTCGGTGTGACCTCTTGCGGGTCTTCTCAAGCGTACACTATGGGGTCTGTAATGGTATCCTCAGTTTGATCGCTGCTGTGACTGGGATCAAAGGTATCTATGGGGTGTGAGGGTAGACGAATGTTAGCACAACAACACCTGAATGCGTTCATTTTGCGGGTTTCGGCTGTCTCGCGCAAAAGCGGCAGCAAACAATTCTTCCGGGCATAAGATGTACATGTAGGCAGAGCAACCGCTATGGGAATTGCCATGTAAATGGGGTAAGATCATTCATATCTCCACAATCAAGGCTTGTTAGCGCTTCGTTTGCTGGACGCCGTCGCGCTGTGTTTCTCCCTCATGTGTCTTGGATGTGCTTTCTCAAGGACTCCTTTCAGAGCTGATGGCACATTGCTCTCTCCCTGTAAGTTCAGGTCGACCCGCTCGACATAGAGATCGTATCAGCCAGCAGGGTGGTATCACGAAATGTTCTTTTAAGGATATTACCAGCTTCTCCTACCTCGACGGCGAGCGACAACCACGAGACTTATCAACAACGGTCGTCCTCTCACAGAGACATGGCTGCCAATACCACCGTCATAATTACCTCATCATAACTCATGGCCCTTTTTGCTACAGACTACAACAGTGCCCAACATGACCTAATGGGCATGTTCTCACGGATGCCACAACATCACCTTCTCCCACACTCATTGTCGCATTGGTTCTCTTAAATCTTATCTAGCTTACGCACTGAGGCACGGTCTGTCTTTTATTTCACAGACTGTCAGCACTCCCTTATTCGTGACTTCTTCTCCTATGGACAGCTCCATGAGTCTCTGTGAGTAATGCGGACAATTGATATGCAGAGAGTGCGTTCTGGAACAAGGATGTGGCCTCTTCGTCGATATATGGGGTTTCTTTAGTCATTTCTTTGGTCGTCGCTCGTTCGCTATCCTTTCTGATTGTGTTGTGACTTTTCTATGTTATAAAACTATATGTAGTGATTCAGACAGTTGTCTTATGCTCGTCTAGATGAGTCGTACATATCATTGTCTGCTCTCTCTCGTTGCTGTGTTATCATTTGGTTGTTTTTACTCTTGAGTTTGTTTTCTGTGGTGTATGGCTTCGGTAAGTCTAACGCGAACAAGGCTCTACTTGCAATGTTTCTCTGCTCTGATGTATCTGTTCACTTCTGAACAAGCGTAACATCTCTCTGTCAGGAAGAAGTTTGTGTAGAGACAATCCACAGCGGTGTGCACTGTTGGTGGCTTGATACCCTTTCATATATATATGGTTTATGTAATCTGTTAATCCTTTTTCATATGCCCGAGAGACTCTTCTCAGCATTTATATTCTTGAGACTCTACATCTATCTGTTGTTTCAGAATCGTCGTCCTGAGCTGCACGGTCAACCCTGCCGTTTCAGTGAGGTCGGATTGGGAGCGTCCTTAGTCTTTTTGTGTCTTGTGATTATGCTTGGATTATCTTGGTTAATCTTTTTCATTTTTTTACTTTTCACAGCTGTTGCGAATAGTAATGGTCGGCTTCATCAGTTCCTCTTGCTTCCTGTAATAAGTTATTACGTTTTAATATTTGAGAGTGCAGAATGTTATTCTAAATACTGAATTTCTTTCAGTTATGTGTCTGCTATTTGTTACATGGATATATGTATACTGGTCTTGTGAGACAACAGTGGGTCTCATTATTTGATAAAGGTGCACTAAGTTTTTGTTATTTATTGTTATAAATTAATTAACGAACAGCTATAAGAACAGATAGTTAACTGAGATTACTGTCTAGCAGATATTGATATAAGTTGATACTGGCGAATTCGCGGAGTCTCGTTGATTTTATGTAGTTTTCTCTGTATTAGTTCCGGGGTGGGTAAGCCGGAGCCAAGGAAGAGAACTCTATCGAACGAGGCTGGATGCGTCGATAGCAGTTTTTTATTCGAAGCGTTTTTTTTGATTTTTTCTCTTTCCTTTCCTGTGCAAACGAGTTCAGACATGACCGCAAACTCAATGCCATGTTAATCAGTACCTGTAGCAACACAGTTACTACTGAGCTCTTAGTTATTTGTTTTCAAATATTTAGCATATGTATGTGTTGTTTTGGGGCTTGTTTTCATAGAACCATTGGTTGCTTGATTTCTCAATTTTTCAATCAAGTG